AGCAAATAAGAAATTTCATTTTAATATTTTAGTAAATAAAAGATTGAGATACAACTAATTATATTTCAAAAAAAATTCATAAAATATTTAATACACGTGTTTCAGACACATATATTCAATTTATTTTAATATTTTTTTTTATTCGGTATGTCTTTGGCGTGCTTGACACGTATTAGACACGTGTTGGACACTACATATCTCTTTAAAGAGAAATGTTGGTGCAGCATCGAAGGATGGTAATCCGACCCTCCATTGTATCACATACTTTCTCTTGATGCTATTGATCATCATGTTCATGATTCAAATTAGATTATTGTGTTGCTTCATCTTTACCACACCTCCATAACCTCACCTCCACACACTTAAAAACCTATGCTAATTTGCTTGAATCAGTAGTGATCAAATAATGAGGTTTGAGTTGAACCAAAGTTCCTAAAGGGTTTCATTTGAATGCATTTGCTATTGTTTACCACTATTAGACGAGTCAAAATAACCGGAAAACTTTGATCAGTTTTTGTAGATTTAGGAGGTGCAGTCAATGATAATTTTGGGTTAGGAGGAACTACAGGGTTTAGGGTGAAGGTATGTTTAATGGGTGGAGAAATTTTACTACTATTTTTTATTTTTGAGTGGGCGTGGGGGTAGCTTCAGAAGTAACCTCTTGTGGTACTGTTGTTGAAGGTTCCACAAGTGATGTAATAGAAGTTTTACTGGTAGTGTTGGGGTTGTGTGGAAGTTGCTGGACAATACTCGATGACCAAAATTGGTGGAGTAACAAGGGAGAGAGGGAGAATAAAGAGAAACCTCATCAAAGAACTTAAAAGGAATCACTACGAAGCTCTCTCCAAAGAACCCCCAAGGAAGAAATTCAGACCACATGATGTAATAGGATACGTAATTAAATTAGAAATTGATTTCTAATTAGAGAGGGTTTGATTAATTCTTGTTTAACAAGATAGTGCCACCACATTTGATCACACATTGTATCATGGTGAAGGGAGGAAAGGCCATGGTTGAATGAAACTTGATTGAAGGCTTATATTGATTGATCTTGATCACCTCACACTTGGCTTGCGAGGGAGGTGACTGACTATGCAAGTAAGCTGCAGTATTTTCTTGTGCTTTTTTTTTTTTTTTGATGTTAAAAAAAAAGAAGCAAAGATTGATAAATACCATGCCTTGAATACAATCTTTCCTAAAATGATGTAGTTTTGACTAATGTTGACATGTCAAATTTCATATAGTATTTGTTATGTGTGCTATCTTGGTTACTATCTACTCATATGAAGCTGATGCTGGGCGCTGAGAATTTCAGGGTGTCGTGGTTCAGTCTTTTCTTCAAGCCATTGGTTGATTGTGGTGGGGGCAGTGGTGATCGGTTGTTTTGAAGGAAGCCATTTCCTTTAAGGCTTGATAAGATATTTACTAGTCTCTTAAATTTTCACTTAGAATTTAGCGCAGTTTAGAATTTAAAGTCCATTTATGTAGCATAGGGCAGTGGTTTAAAAAGGCAGTCATGTTGTATGTCTAGAAGGACGCCTCATTATGAGGTGTCTAGTAAGTGCCTTTGAGGCTTACTATTTTCTAGCTTGGGCGAGGCTCGCGCTTTTTCATTCAAAATATATGAGGTTTTCTATGCCTTGAAGGTGCATGCGCAAATTAAATTTTACTTCATATGAATACATTTTTTTTTAGTTATATATAAGAGGGTTTTAAGTATTAATGATTTTGTATGATCATAAAAAATTGTCTCTTCAAGCAAATCGGCCTGTCGTATGCTACATAAATGGACTTAGGTGATGTGATGGTTGGATGCAGAGACACATTGGGTTATGAATTCCAATGTGGCGGATAAAATCATATATCTGCATGGGCCAATCAAAAGTTCAAGTCACACACTCCCATAATCCATCCTCTTTTATGAAAAGACTTAGAATTTAGATATGTTTGGAAATCGAGTGTTTTTATTTTTATGTAAAAGTGGGCTTAACTAGGGGTGTCAAAACGGGTCGATGGGTCGGGCCGACTTGACCCTGGTCTAAACGGGTCAACTCAAACCCAACCCGATTTTATGAATGGGTCGGGATTTCTAACCTAGACCTGACCCGTGCGGTTTGCCGGGTTGACCCGACCCGACTCGCAACCCGTTTGCAAAATGTCAATCCGAAGCCGCTGACAAGGTGCGACTTGCGTGACCAGTGGTCCAACGGCTGGGCAAGAGTGCGGGCGATGGGACGAGGGCCGTGACTCGCGAGGCTAGTGGCTTCCGGGGTAGGGGCGAGACTCGAGGCGAGGGCATCGATCTTGCGAACCCGAGTCGCGAGGCCAGCGACATGCGCGATCTTGTAGCATCTGGGTGAGGCCAGTGCAAGGTAGGGCCGGAAACTAGAAACGCAGCTAGGCGAGGCCAGCATAAAATCGGGTTAGGTCGCGCAGGATACATGTTAAACGAGTCGACCCATGGGTTGTCGGGCCAACTCGAACCCGACCCATTTTTCAAACGGGTCATAAAATCCGAACCCGGACCCAACCTGTTTCACAAACGGGTTGACTTAAACCCGAATTTTTCTGGTCGGGTTTTTGGGTGGCCCTAAGCTTAACCTTTTTATTTATTTTTAATTAATTTGATTTTTTATTCTTTTTTATTTCTTTAATTGTTTTTGTTTTTATTTTGTTTTTAGCTTATTTTATTTTCATTTTCTTAATTTCCTTTATATTTTTTTGAATGTTTTTTCATTATCTTAAGATTTTTTTCGTTGCTATTTAACTAGACTTATGATAATTGTCGAAATTTGAAGTTGCCCATTTTTGTGTTCCCAATAGAAAGTTGTCCGCAAGATATTAATGTCTGCATATTTCCAGATTACAAACTAATTAAGGTATATTTTACGTGGCTTTCAGGTTTCGAATATTGATCTCCGTTCACATGTTTAAGGTTTCTGTTCTCGTAAATTTGAAGGCTGGATAGATATTGACTTGAATGCTTATTTTCTTTTAAATTGCGTAAACCCCCAAATAATTGATAACGCGTTGAAGCAGCTTTGATTTTGCTCTAAATATCTAATTTATTTGGCGTAGTGTTTAGTAAGATGAGCTGGCATGCAGTTTATATTATCTTTCGTTGGAACATTTGCGTAACTTAGCTTCTTTTAATATTTATGTTTTATTGATATTTTTATTATCGTGATTAAGGCTTCATTTGGGATGGTTTTTTTTTTTGACTTTTTAAAATAGCTTTTTAGTTCACAAATTAAAAATTTTGAACTAAAAAATTACTTTAAAAAATAGGGCCATCCCATTTGATAGCTTTAGATCATTATTTTTTTCTATTTAAAAAAAAATTTATATAAAAAATAAGTTTACAAATAATAAGAAAGTCGTTCCAAAGCTTAATTTTTTATTTCAAGTAAAAGCAACATGGTAATGACAAATAGCCTGCCATAAAAGGGAATAAAAATGTATCGAAGCTCTTTTATCATCTTATATTTAAGTAATACATAAGGAATATTTTAGTGCAAAAATTATCCTGCTCTGAAATATACGTTAATTATTTTCTATTTTCTAAGATTAAAATTGATGGTATTGAAAGGAGAGAGTTCTTGGTCTTCATAGTTGGAACAATTATTACGTCATCTGACCGGACGTAGAGTTACGTTCGGTCGTTAATAACATGTCGTCACGTGCTCTTACTCTTTACCGCGCGGCTCGACGACTTGACCCGGAGCGGAACCTGGGAATGCTATGTTCACGATTTTCTCTGTAATGTTCTGTATTTGCTAGGTATTGCTTTGCAAAAATGAGAAATACCATTCTGTGAAGACCAATATCATGCGAATACCGAGTTGTACTGAGTTTTTTTACAACTCGGTACAACTTAGTATTTGCTCAGGATTTGCTCGGTATTGCTAGGGATTTGCTCGGTTTTGCTAGAAAAAATTCGGTATTTGCTCGGTATTGTTAGGTATTTGCTCGGTATTGGTTATTGCCGAGCAAAATCGACCAATATATAGCAATACCGAGCAATCTTGGGTCCGTTCCGGGTCGGGTTATCGAGGCGCGCGGTAAATAATGAAAACACATGGCGCGATTCTACTGGCGGCCGAACGTAGAGTTGCGTACGTTCACCGGACCAAATAAAAATTCTCATAGTTGAGGAAATTTAAAACTATTGTCGTAAAAAAACAAAATCATGAGATTTGTTGGATTCTGATTTCTCCTTGTGAACCAAACGAACAAATAATATTCTCTCCCAACTTGTTGAGGGTTAATCGCAATTAGAAACAAGAGGTTTATAATCAGATTAACTGTAATGCTGCCTGATATTAAGTGTAAAAATTTTTATACTAAAAAATCATTTTAAAAAAAAAATTATCCCAAATAAAACTGAAGTTAATAACGAGAACAAAAGCTCAATCTCAAGTCAATTGTTTATATATATATATTTTAAAAAATTATCCCAAAAAAATCCGATGTTCTAAAATTGTCCGATAATTGCCAAATTATACTATTTGCACACATTTCTCCAAAACCGGATGGTTATGCCTCTGTCATCAGAACAATTATTACGTCCTCCGACCGAACGTAGAGGAACGTTCGGTCGGAGGCAATTTCCCGCCAAATACCGAGTTGTACCGAGTAAACACCGAGCAATATCAAATAATAATGAGGAATAACATCATGTAAAGATCCAATACCGAGTTATTTCGAGCTATCTTGAGCAATATCGAGTTATACAAAAATTGTAACGAGTTTTTCCTAAAAAAACTCGGTACAACTCGGTATTTCTCGATATAGCTCGGTATAACTCGGTATTGGTCTTCAAAGAGCGGTATTCATCGTTATTATCAAATAATACCTAGTTGTACCGAGCAAATATCGAATTTTTTGACGGGAATTTAGTGCCGACCGGACGTTCCTCTACGTACGTTCACCGGACCAAATAAAAGTTCCTGTCATCAGCTATCCGATACTATCGATGTGCATTTAAACAATCTACAGAGGATAAGAAAACAAATTACAAATATGAAGGGAGGTTCACGGCATCATTTGCATGAACTATACATAGAATTATCAGACATAGAAGAAAGCACTACACAGCCCATCAAAAAATACATGAGTCTCCTAATTCATACTTAACGCATTGCTCAAAAAGCTTTCAGCATATACAAGCAAAACAAATAAATAAGCCATAACAAAGTCTTATTATGACATTTTATGTTATTTAACGATAACAATTTCTTTTCCTCTTTTAATCATACCTCTAAGTGAATATTGATCAGCTGGCACCTTTAGGAGCATCTGCTGCTCCCCAAACACTGTCCCATGACTGTCCAGGTGCTGCTTTTGGCCCCTCCAGCAAACGCTGCTCCGGCCCTTCAGCACCTGGGAGCTGACCAGCTCCAGCTTGTGGAAGCTTCTTTGGTTTTGTCCTGATTCCTAGTAACCTTAAAACAAACCTTGCAAGCTCACCATATAACATGCCTGAGCGATCAAAAAGCTGCAAAGCATTCGAGTAGAGTAGCAATGAAAATCACTTCAGGTGGTTTTAACTATTTGCAAACATAGCTGCAACATTATTATATGGAAAGTAACATTTTGAAAATTATGAGTATATTGTAATTTGCTTTTCTTTTGACAAAGGCATTAGCTTTATTATAGCTAACATACTAGCAAATATAGCTGCAAAACATAATGTCACATCATAGAAATTTCTAAAAAATAACAAGAAAAAAATAACAGCCATGCAACAATGTGGCAGCTATCTCAAAAACAATGCATTGCAAAAAGCTGTCGCAAATGGACTCTGCTCTGCAAGCTCAATTCCATCTCAAACTTTTAAGCTTTCTTTGGGACGGCTTTTTTATTGCTTCTTAAAGCAACATTTTAGTACAAACATTAAAATTTTTGTACTGAACGAAAGCTATTCCAAATGAAACCTTAATCACATAAAAGTGGAAATTTGACAACTATTCTTGCTACTTAGGGAGTAAATACTGAATAAACATGTCACTAATATGGTTAAGAGATTTATCATCCCAGATTGAAATAAAGGCAAACCTGAAGAAGAGCCGACATAAACATGTGAAAAGCTTGAGTATTCTGATCGATTAGAATTGAAATCCGTCCAAAAAAATTCACCACACCTTGCATCTGAAAAATAAGGTCCAAACACATTATTATAGCGGGAATAAGAAGGTAATCCGCAAGATCACGAGAACCCTAAAATTATTGGAATGAATACCAAATTGCATACACGAAAATGAATGATAAAATATTACTCACCACACGGAGAAAGGACATCCAGAAACCTGGTGGAGATGATGTTGGCCCATATGGATTATTTGGATCTTGATTCCCATAAGGGCCACCCATGCCATAACCACCCATTGGCCCTCCAAAATTACTGTTGTACATGCCACCATACATGCTAGATCCTCCATTAAAACCTCCATAGCCCCCTCTATTATACATGCTATTTCCATAAAGACCACCTCCATAAGAACCACCTAATCCACCATATGATCCACCATACATGCTAGAACCATATCCTGTATTGTAGTTCATATTTGACCCATAGCCTACATTCAGGAAGAGAATATAGTTGCATATTAGAAAAATAGAGCTATTGAAACAAGAACATGATATTTCAAATCAATATTTCTGTACCTCCATAGCTATTTCCATAGTTTTGATCCCAAGGTCTAGTAGGTAGAGACCTCGCAATTACGCTATTGTTAGCGGTTGTATTCCCAGTATTAGAAACCACCTCTCCAGGCTTTGCAGTCCCAGAAGCTTCAACAATGTCGCTTGTACTGCCAGGAGATGGAGGCTTGAATGGGGCTGGACCTGAAGAGGAGCCAGCTCGTTCCCAAGGTTTTGGTGGGGGTGTAGCTCCTGAAATAAAATTATCATGAGGGAGATTTATTGCTTTACATGCGAGAGAGAGAGAGAGGTTTTGGATCCATTGATTAGAAGAGAAGGCTGTTTCTCTAAGATCACAAGTTTTAAGCCACATACTTGACAATTTATCACTCATTCTAGAGAGAGAGAGAGAGAGAGAGAGAGAGAGTTCGTGTTTGATTTCAGATTATTGAAGCATACAAATTAGACAACAATGCAAATTAATTAACATAGTTCAGAAGGTATTGCATATTTGAGGTTGCTGTATATTAACACTAGTTCATGATGTCTAGATCAGAACTTTCTCAAGCTACTCATAACAGCATTGTTCTCTGGTTGCCACAAATTAAAGAATACTCATATTCAGTATACGCAAATTATTGTCAGAATTTGCGAAGGCCTTTGAACGTGGAAAATATGACTCGAGGAATATCCAATGAAATTCAAGTTCAATTGGTACCCACAAATATCTCATCATCATCATTAGTATCAACAATTTGAGATTGAAGTCATAAATCCTCATTTCTTCCAGTTGAGAGATATTTGAGGTGTCAAATCTGTCCTTTGTAAATCATTTCAAACAAATTCTATTCATGTAATCTAGGGTCTACCACTTTTCCTTATTAATCCTTTTAACACTAATTCTATCAATTGATCTAATGCGCACATTTTTTACTCTTCATTACACAAGTCCAAACCATCTAAAAGTCTATTTCAGAAATCTTATTTTCAGTAATTGTCACTCCAACAATTCTCCTAATATAATCATTCATTAATTTATCATTCTTAATTTTACCTCATAATATAATCATTCTTTAATTTATCCCTCTTACTTTTGTCATGCATCCATCTTAATAATCTCATCTCAACCATAATAGATTAGATATTAAAGTTTTTTTATAGCTCAACATTCAAATCCATACAATATCATGGCTTAATTATAATTCACAAAATTAATCTTCAAGTCTCCATGATATCCTGTTATCATATAAAACTCAAATGATATTTCTCCATTTTAACTGTCTAACCTTAACTCTAGAATTTATAGCGTTTTTATATTTTCATTATTTTATATAAAAAATCTAATATTTAAGTCTATCATACCTCCTCCAATGTACTCCCTTATCTTCTAATAATAGTTATAATGCCAACTAAAAGTTCAATTACTTCTAAGGCCTTAAATCTTCTAAAATTTTCCTCTAAATAGTTTCATGATTTCAACGAATGTCTCACCAATTTGAATCATATATCTGCACTATTGATCATTCATGTAAAGTTATAATAATTTGACATAGGTCACACCACAATATTTCAAATACTAAAAAATACTCCATTATACATATATTTAATAATAGGAGATTTACATACATGCCACTTTATACTATTCTATTTACATATTTAACACCTAAAACTTTAATATTACATAGTACCGAGCATGTACCTAGCAGTACCGAGCAAATACTGAGCGGTACCGAGCATATACTGAGCGGTACAGAGCATGTACCAAGCAAATACCTAGCTGTACCGAGCAAATACCTAGCTGTACCGAGCATATACTGAGCGGTACCGAGCATGTACCTTGCAGTACCGAGCAAAAACCTAGCTATACCGAGCATATACTGAGCGGTACCGAGCATATACTGAGCGGTACTAAGCATATATTTGAGGCGTACGCCTCAGCCAGAATTGCACAATTGCGCCTCTGAGGCGCGCCTCAGTCCAAGTGAGGCGTACGCCTCTGCCAGGAGAGGAATTGCGTAAGCCTCGAGGCGGTTTTGGGTCAAATTGCGCTGAGGCGCGCCTCTTATTGCGCAATTTTAAACAGAGCCTCCAATAGCTTTTTGCATTACTAATAAATTCAATTCTTGTATAGTTAGCAAAATTTTTGAACATCACCTTTGTTCTAAAATGTTAGTACTAAGATACTCTACTTCAATCAATTATTTGACATCCTCTTAGTTTTCAAAATTCTATTAAAATAATTTATTTACTAAATCATTATATATTCTTCCAAAACTCTCCAAATCTATGCATCTCATATGGATCTAAAGTGTTAACTTTATACATCTTTTTAAGACCTTCAAGAAAGGAGCCACCAGATAAATTGATGTTGCAAGCAGATACAAGAAAGTAGCCATCTGCTAAATTTTTTATGCATATAGAGATTCACCAAATAATTCTCATCATTAGCCTGGTCTCAATTACTACGCATAGGTCTTATGAATATTAATTCTCAACAACTTCCTCATGAGCATCTATTAAGTTTGTATTGAAAACTATTTAAAGTGTTAAATCTAATTTACTCGGATCTTTTAGCAAAATGTTCTGCAAAATTTCTATACATGTTATCGCTTGTACATTTTCTTCCTACATCCACAGTAATCTTATCTACCCTTCTTATTGATGTGCCTTCTACATTATTTTGTACATTCCCAAACCACATAACATCTATTTACAACAAAATCTTCAACTAAGACTACTTCTAGATTTCCTTTTCTATGATAAGTTTCCAATTAATGCTTTCTCGTTCCCCATATGATTTTATAACATTCTCACTTCTGATATGCATAATATGGCTATAATTGACCTTTTTCAACACATTGCTCGGATTCATATAGCATAACTGGTCTAATCATAATTTTATAAAAATTTCTATCAAGTTTTCATGCCCCCACATAGTGGGATAAAGGCTTGTTATTTTTGTTGTTGCTTCTTAAAGTTTGAATGATATTCTATTATCGCATCATACATCCAAAGCACTTTAACCATAAATCTTCATTTTGCATTAACATTATTCTATACAATAGATCCATGATATTTAAAGTTATATCACATCTATGCATCGTTTGGCCTTTTAAAAATTGATAATTATTGATACCCACAAAAAATTAGATACAACGTACTCAATCTTTTATTCTACTAATTTTTAAGGAATGTTTTATCCTTCATTTTAACTATTCATTAATTTCAAAACATCAAATTAATTAAACAGCATCATTTGAAAATAGCATAACACAAAATCACCTTACATGAATATATTTTGTAATTATCTCCATAACTTATCCAATGTTGATTCTTGATTTAATCCTAGGGAAATTGAAAACCTTTTTGTCACCCCATAATTAGTTCCATAACTAGTTCAAATACTAGTCAATGCTGAATCATATATATTTTTGAAATTTTCAACATAGTTAAGACAAATTTTCTCTTTGATGTGCATCAAATTAGTTCACATAATACTCGATTATATGCCTTCTAAAGATCAATAAAACCATATAAAGATCATTATTTTGCTCTTCAAAATTTTTCATCAGTTGAAAGCCTTAGCACAAAATCATCTTAGTGGTAGATCTTCTCAATATAATTCCACATTAATTTTCATATGCTAACATGATTCTTTTTCTAAGACAATATTCCATCACCTTCTTCTATAACTTCATTGAATGACACGAATTTTCATTTCTCTATATGTTAAATCTAAATATCATTTTTGTTTTTAGATATTAGCATCAAAATATTTCTCAAATCATTTGAAATCATTTTAATCTTTAAGATTCCATTGAAAATATTTAGTAACAGAAATGCTCCAATATCTTCCAAAACACTCAAAAATCTCAATAAAAATATTCATGACAGTAGTAATTATAAGGACAAAAAGGCATAAAGCTTACCAACAAGCATTTTCTTTAAACGTTAAGACTAACACAACTTCATTGTTTTGATCAAAATCTATAATGCAATTCATGCCGCACTCAACAGAAACAAATAAAAAAGGTAAAGTTATAAAACCGAGCATAAATAAGTTTGCTATCCAAGCCCAAATAGTTGAGATATGGCTAATGATGATTTTGTCCATTATGCTCTCATAAAGAACTTTTATTCTTAGTATTATCATTTAATAACTTATCAAAATAAAATTTTTATATTTCCTTGATTTACTCGCATTTAATTAAGATTATATAACCATTGCTTCTACTAAGTTAATAACTTTATCAAACTTTTATGTTTCTCATCTTTTGCATGGTAAATTTATATTGTTGGGAACCTCAAAAATTCATATATGATAAAGCAAAACTTTTAACATGAAGTACGCATGTTGATGTTAATCTAACCAAAAGTGGTACTTGAATAAACACATAAAGGTGTGTCAACCATTAGATAAAATTGAATGTGCCCCGCCAAACTTGCAAGTGAATAGACTGTGGAGGCTCAAACATCCTTGAATTGGAAAACCGATCAAATTGAGACCACAATAACCTGGTTAAGGAAAGTTGCTTTCCTTGATAAACAATCAAGCAACAATGACAAAACTAATTTCACCACTATTATTACCTATGATGCACAGACACGGACACGACGACACAGATACGGCACGACACGTACACGGGACACGTAAATTATCAAAAATATTGGACAAGAACACGGGTTGGACATGGTATTATAGTTTTTATATTTTAAAAATAGTGCATAAAAATTAAATAAGTATAATTTTAAAAAATTATTTAGAAATAATAAATCATTTAACTAGAATTTTGTGTTTAAAATGATTAGTATTAGGATGTCGAGAGTTGGACGTCGATGTCGTTTATCAGTCATCGAGAGAGGTGATGAAAATACCTTCACTGTCAAAGAAAAATGAAAATAAGAATATTCGATGAATGGGTAATAAGAAATTAAGTTTTTATATTTTAAATATGTAAAAATTTTAAATACAAAAAATTATATTTAAAAAAATCATAAAATATTTAAGAAACACGTGTCGGACACAAGTGTCCAATTTGCATTTAATATTTTTTTTAATCAAACACCTTTTCGACGTGCCCGACAAGTGTTGGAGTGTCGGACACGTGTCGTGTCGGATACATGACGGACACTGCACGTCTCTTTGAAAAGAAGTGTCGGTGCATCATAGGTTAGTACCTTGTAATGGGGGTGGAGGTGACAAAACAACCTCCTCTGGTTTGCTTCATCACGAGGCACTTTATAGCCCTCCA